ATTTTCTTTATAATTTTTTATTTCCATTATTTTAATTTCTTTTTATTTTAATTTCTTTTATTTTACATCATTTCTTTTTTATTTTAAAATATATTTTCCTTTGTACATTATGTTTCTTTTATTTATCTCCCTCTACTTTTTGTGATTCCATGTAATTGCTCTTATATTTTGTTTCTTATTTATTTTACTTTCTTCATTTAGCGTAACTGCATTATTACTCTAGTTTTTGAAACTACATCTCATAATATTAGAAATAATGAGTCATTGACAAACTTAGCATATAATGAGTGATGACATTAAAGTAAATTTTTGTTTTTGAATGAGGTTATAAACGTATTATATTTCCCTAATCTTAAGTTGTATTGGAACTTATTTTTATTATGTTGGAATTTGACATATGTTAAACTTTTTTTTCTGAATTTTGAAATTGTATTATATTTATGGTTCCAATTTACTTATTTTAGTAGTATTGGCTTGTTATTTCACATTGCATGTTGTTCATTATAATTGGAATTAATAGATTAAATTGGTCAAACATTTGAATATTGTTGTGACATTATATTTATAAATATTAATTTATTTTATCAAACATTCATTCCATGATGTTTTTACAAAATGTATGTTTTTAGTTTTTATAATTAATTAGACCAAATATTATTAATTTAGAAAATATATATCAATTATTTTTATACTATTAATTAAAAATATATGATTACTAATTAATGTATATTCAAGAAAAAATATGCATCTTAAATACCAAATCTAATATCATTTATACTTATAAAAAATTATTTATAGGCATATATTTATTATATTACTCCCTCCGGTCCAAAATAAGTAATTTTCTAGCATTTTTTTTGTCCAAAATAAGTGATTTTTACAGATTTCAAGAGAGCATTAATATCTTTTTCCCTATATTGCCCGGAGTAAATATTGTTGGAATATGTGTTATTAAAGTGTTTATTTCCAATGCAATTGAATTCTTCCATATGATCAGATTCACGTTTCCACTTCTCTAGTTCTATTACTCTTCAACTATGGCATACTCACAGTTTACATCAGATTATACAATATCAGATTCACGTTTTGATTATTTTGTGTTGTAGCCATGCTTATTTCATCATTTTAGAAAATTAAACCTTCTTTTATAAGAGAATTCTTGGTGGAAAATGTTGAAATTTTTGGCTCCATTTTATATTTTGTTGATATTTTAAAACTAAAATTCTAGACATATTGAGATTCTTTCTGAAAATTTGAAATCATTTTTCAAGCGTTGCTTCGTCTGACAAATTGAGATGGTTGCTAATCATGAATGTTCTGCCGTTGCGTCTTCCATCTGCTTCATTAAATGTTTTGTGAGAGTTGAGAATAATCACATCCCAAATACCAAAATAGATAGCAAAGGATAGTATAGTCATTTTTATTGATATTTAATGCTAAAAGGTAATTTTCTTAATCTGTGTAAAAACACCCAGAAAATCATTTATTTTGAATCGGAGGGAGTAGCTTTTAAGTTTTGATAATTACTTCATTTAAAATTCAATATAACTATATAATTATATTTATGCAACCAAACAGTACGCTTGTAATTACACTATATTATGATGTGATAAGTAAATAGATCGTCGTAATTACTATATTGTGTAATTACTACCATAATAATTATATCAATTCCAATTACAAGTGGCTTTCCATACATACCCTAAGATGAAGAAGGTGGTACCACGTTCAGTGAAGTCGATTAAGAGTTGACTATATGTGGTTGGTAAACTAGAGATATTCAGTTTTACGAAATCTGTTTGATTAGGTCAAAACATATTGTAGCTCCTTGAATATTAATTTACGTCTTTTTGCCTTAATCTTCGAATTGAAATTATTTAAAGATTTTTATTCCATTTAACAAGTGAACCTCACATACCAAACCTAGAATAGACTATATCAAAGCAACAACATCATCATTAAGGCTTGTAGCAAATGGCACCAATAAAGCTCGTAGTAAAATGATAAATTACTCATTTATCATTATTATTAATCATAAACTTCGAGTTCAGAGTCTTGATATGAAATTTTCATTATCATTAATTTTAGAATACTAGAAGCTACTCAAAATAAGTTTATTATTCAATCAAAGGTATAAAATCACCTTTATTAGGAAGAAATTCAGATTTAATCAGCTGCTAATTGGCTAATTTTGTCTTTTAATTCTGGAAATTCCAAAAGGTGTGGCACAAAATATAGAGGCGAACATCACAAGAAACAACATATGAACACCCCCCCCCCCCTAC